CAGAGAAAAATGCACCGCGATGTTCCTAGGTAGGTCTAAGAGCATAGCAATTTACACCTTAATTCAAATAGCATAAAATATACATTGATAGATTAAATGCCCTCCCTCTGCCTTCTCGTTCGCCGGTTTGCGCTGGCCTTTAAAACTAACTTTAAAACTAATTTCCCGAACGTTTACTATTTCCTTTAGTTACTCAGAATAGTACCTAAATAGCCTTTTTTACTTCTGTATTCACTGTTATGATGTTTTTGACTTAGACTTGCTATGAAAATTTTACTAGCAGTAGACCTCCTTGTGAAAGAGTTCGTCCAGGGAAGTGCTGCCACCTCACCTATTTCTGCCATTATTTCTTATTATTATTTAACTATTTCTGCTATTTCTTACACTTCCGGTTTGGAAGTGTAAGGGTGCTGTTGAACTTACAGGCACATGGGACTTATCAACTTAGGTCTCAGGGTGACGGGCGCAGTGGCAGTGCCCTAAACATCTTTGCGATTTAAAGGTCTAAATGACACCACAACTGTTATAGGTAGGCGTGTCGCATACCACCAGGTGCACAACTTGTTCGTCCCGTCACTTATTATAAAAACCCCGGTATCGAAAGCCAATATCGGGTCGCAGACCCAATGGAGTAAGTAAGTCAGTAAGAAGACAAACAAGCAGCCGAGTCCATGGAAATTTGCATCGGAGCTGCCCTATTAACTCGCGTTTCGAAGAACCCCGTATCAAAGCACTTTGAAGGTCACTGTGATTTATAATAGTGCTTTTAATAATAAATCGTATCAAGTCGTTAATAACCGGCGGTGTCGTTTCTGATACTCAGTCAGAAGCTTATCACTGCTTTTATACAACACGTGTATGCAACATTGTATATGTATATGTATATGTACCTATGTACCCGTATATATAGCGTGAGACGTATGTTAGCCGCAATAATGCCACAGCAATTGTAAATAAAGACTACTAAATTATGTCCCGCAAATTCTTCATAATGTTTTGTGGGAGGTTAAGTTCGTAGATGAACGGGTACATTCTGATATTTTCTAGAATAAATAGATCACGAAACTTTGTTTGGATATATACGCAGGACGTCTCTACTTCATATAATATTATTAATAACAATTTGGACTCCAGTGAACTGTTGGGCCATGGTTCATTTAGGATCGGCAGCATGCGTGTTCCAGGACTGTTTTCGTTACCTTGCTGTACCAATAATGTCACGTATAAAAGCCCTGTGTTTTCTATGTGTAAAACTCATGTAAAACTGTAGAACTTACAACGATATTTGAAGAGATGTAGATATATTCTCTCAAAGTCATAAAAAATTTATGAGTAACTGTTCCCTAATGAGTTGTGTTTGTGTGTAGTTATTTTTTTATTATTTTTTTCTGTTTTTATTGCTTTTGAGAATTGTAGTTAGTTTTTTCCTTTTCCTTAATTCTCATTTTAATTATTTTTCCTAGGTGGATAAGGTATGAAGTTACCGCAAGAGAAAAGTACATTTTTTATTAATTTCCTTTGTTTAAATATTATTTTCTCGGTTTTGAGTTTTTGTCACAAGCAATTTAGAAAGTTCATTTCTCAATTTGGTCCTACCGGAAATTGAACCCGAGAACTCCTCATACCGCGCCCACAGTGCAAACCGTTAAGCCACCGAAGAACTGGGCCAATTAAGAGGATTTTTTGGAAAGTATTGTCGCATATACTTAGGAAATGAAACTATTTTTCGGATCCAAATTACATATAAACTTGCGTATTAATGTATAACGTCATTCACTTTGCAAATCCAATGGTCACAAATGACTCACCATTGTGAATTGGACTTAGGAATTATTTTTAAAATCAAACGGTTTTATTTATTTCACCTGAATATACAGTAAATTTTTATGGCTGTTTCGCAAAGGTGTGATTACATTTCCTTTATATATAAGTAGCCCTTTCATATACAATAACTGCGTGAAAAACATCAGCCTGTAATTTTTTAAGTTTTTATATTAAAATTTAG